GCCGCGGCGTGGCACCACGGGCTGCTGCGTGGCATGAGCCGTCGGGGCTGGAGCAGACACCAGCTGCCCCAGCACCACCCAGAGCAGGCAAGAGGCAGCGAGCCTGTCGGCCCCAGCAGCAGGAGCCTTCGCTGCCGTAAAGCTGCAGCCCCCAGGAGAAAGGCTGCACCGCTCCTGGGTACAGCCAAAGGCGCTTGGCTTCTGTTAATAATAATTCTATGGTCAGGGCATTACTTGGACATATGCACAATTTAGGAACGACTGTAAGACTTAGATGATTTCGTGTGAAAGTTAAACCAAGCGATGAGGGAGAAGCTCACTGGGCATTAACGCAACCGCTTTGGTTTCAAAGCTCACCAGAACGCCACCAAAGATGGGAAGTTTCACCACCTTTTCGCTTATTCTTTGCCCACTTGCTCAGGTCTCTGCAGCGCAGCTTCCCCTCCGGTTTGTCTGGATTTCCTTCAGCGCAGCAGGAGGTGGGCGAGAAAACCAACGCCACCAAAACAAACCACCCCCCCCACAGCCATAGGGGCAGGGCTGACCACCGTCTTTCCCGCCACGGCAGCACCACGGTGTCACCCCTCCCTCTGCCCCCACCAGGCAGAGCTGTCTCCACTGTGTCCCCATTGCACCCCCTCCTTTCCAGCGCCCTGGGGCTCAGGGGAGCCCCGGCACCGCAATCAGGCGCTGGCACAGGCGTCCTCAGCAGCCGGGGCAAAGCAGGCTGTGCCGCCCGATTACAGCCCGGGAAGGTGGCCAGCTCCTTACCCACACCAAAGCCTTGATTTCTTATTTTCCCCTCCCCTTCCCCTGGACAGAGGCAGTGACGGGGGTCTCTGCTGCTGGGGGGGAGGGAGGGGGGAACCACCTCTCCCCCCTTCCAGCTGGAGAGCAAACAGCAGCAGAGGTGGCCTTGGAAGCACCACAAGGGATGCACATATCCGTGGCGATGACAACAGACCGGATGGGGAGCTGTAACCCAAGCCGCAAACAGAGAGTGACCGGCACTTGCAGATCAAGTTTTGATACAAAGGCGGTTAAAAAAAAAAAAATAATAATAGAGAGAGTCACCTTACTGCTGGCCTCAGCCGGGAGGTTTGAGTACACAGAGCTCGGCAGCTGCGAGCCTGGCACCACCAGGAGCCGGCACGGCTCACCGGCACGGCCCTGGGACGGCTGCGCCGCAGGAACAGCCCTTCAAAGGGAAGGAGTCCCAGGCAACGCACCGTAAATATTGACCCCCTTTTCACAGGCAAGAAGCCCCATCTCAGGGCGGCAGGACAACGAGGAGGGCTCATCCTCCAGCCTCTGCTGGGTGGGAAGATGTTAAAAATAGCTGTGCAAGCGTCACCAGGGTGGGTGAACCCCCAGTGCTGCCGGGAACCCCCCC